CCCTATGTACAACAGAACTATCTACCCAGTCCTGCGCCATTCACAGTCCTTGCTATTTTTGAGCTCATGGTTGCAGCCACTGTTTCAATCATCTCATGGAGGGTCTTCCTCTTTTTTGCTGATCCTCTAGGTAACCAAGCATGATGTCCTTCTACTGGGACTGGTCCCTCCTCATAACATGTCCAAAGTACGAGAGATGAAGTCTTGCCATCCTCGATTCCAAAGAGCATCTGGCTGAACTTCTTCCAAGACAGATTTGTTCATTATCCTGGTAGTTCATGGTATATTCAATATGCCTTGCCAACACCGTAATTCAAAGGAATCAATTCTTCTTCCATCCTCCTGATTCACTGTCCATCTTTAGCATGCATATGAGACGACTGAAAATATGATGCCTTGGGTCAAGGGCACCTTAGTCCTCAGAGTGACATTTTTGCTTTTCAACATTTTAAGGAGGTCTTTTGCAACAGATTTGCCAAATGCAATATGTCATTTTATTTCTTAACTGCTGCTTCCATAGGCGTGGGTTGTGGATCCAAATAAAATGAAGTCTTTGACAATTTCAATCTTTTCTCTGTTTAGCATGATGTTGCTTATTGGTCCAGTTGTGAGGATTTTTGTTTTCTTTATGTTGAGGTGTAATCCACACTGAAGGCTGTAGTCTTTTGATTTTCATCAGTAAGTGCTTCCAGTCCTCTTCGCTTTAGCAAGCAAAGTTTTGTCTTCTACATAACACAGGTTGTTAATGGGTTTTCCTCCAATGCTCATGTTGCAATATTCATATAGTCCAGCTTCTGGAATTATTTCCTCAGTATACAGATAGAATAAGTATGGTGAAACAATACAACCCTGACACACACCTTTCCTGATTTTGAACCACACAGTATCCACTTGTTCTGTTTGAATGACTGCCTCTTGGACTATGTACAGGTTCCCCATAAGCACAATTAAATGTTCTGGAATTCCCATTCTTAGCAATATTATCCATAACTTGTTATGATCCACATAGTTGAATGCCTTTGCGTAGTCAATGTAACACAGGTAAACATCTTTCTGATATTCTCTTCTTTCAGCCAAGATCCATCTGACATCAGCAATGATATCCCTCGTTCCACGTCCTCTTCTGAATCTAGCTTGAGTTTCTGGTAGTTCCCTGTTGATGTACTGCTGCAACCATTTTTTAATGATCTTCAGCAAAATTTGACTTGTGTGTGATATTAATGACATTGTTTGATAATTTCTGCATTCTGCTGGATCACCTTTCTTGGAATAGGCACAAATATCGATCACTTACATTCAGTTGGCCAGGCAGCTGTCTTCTAAATTTCTTGGCATCGATGACTGAACACCTCCAGCACTGCATCCATTTGTTGAAATACCTCAACTGGTATTCGATCAATTCCTGGAGCCTTGTTTTCCACCAATGCCTTCAGTGCTGCTTGGACCTCTTCCTTCAATACCATTGGTTCTTGATCATGTTCAACCTCCTGAAATAGTTGAACTTCCACCAATTCTTTTTGGTACAGTGACTCTGTGTATTACTTCCATCTTCTTTTGATGCTTCCTGCGTCATTTAATATTTTGCCCATAGAATCCTTCAATACTGCATGGCGAGGCTTGAATTTTTTCTTCACTTCTTTCAGCATGAGAAATGCCTAGCACACTCTCCTCTTTTGGTTTTCTAACACCAGGTCTTTGCACATTTCATTATACTACTTTACTATGCCTTCTCGAGCCACTCTTTGAAACCCTCTGTTCAACTCTTTTACGTCATCATTTCTTCTATTCACTTCAACTACTCTATGTTCAAGAGCAAGTTTCAGAGTCTCTTCTGACATCCATTTTGGTTTTTTCTTTCTTTCCTGTCTTTTTAATGATCTTCTGCTTTCTTCATGTATGATGCCCTTGATGTCATTCCACAACTCGTCTGGTCTTCGGTCATTTGTTCAATGCATCAAATCTATTCCTGAGATGGTCTCCAAATTCAGGTGGGATATACTCAAGATCTTATTTTGCCTCTTGAGGACTTCAATTTTCTTTAGCTTCCACTTGAACTTGTATATGAGCAACTGATGGTATGTTCCGCAGTCGGCCCCTGGCCTTGTTTTGACTGACGATATTGAGTTTTTCCATTGTCTTTCTCCAAAGATGTAGTTGATTTGATTCTTGTTATTTCCACCCCATGAGGTCCACATGTATAGTTGCTGTTTATGTTGAAAAAAGGTATTTGCAATGAATAAGTCATTAGTCATGCAAAATTCTATCATGCAATTTCCGTTGTCGTTTCTATCAGCAAGGCCATATTTTCCAACCACCAATTCTTCTTCTTTGTTTCCAACTTTTGCATTCTAATCTCCAGTAATTATCATTGCATCCTGATTGCTTGTTTGATCAATTTTGGACTGCATAAGGTGGTAAAAATCTTCAATTTCCCCAACTTTTGCATTAGTGGTTCTTGTATAAATCTGAGTAATAGTCATATTAACTGATCTTCCTTGTAGGCGTATGTATATTATCCTATCACTGACAGTGTTGTACTTCAGGATGGATCTTGAAATGACCTTTCTGATGATGAATGCGACACCATTCATCTTCAGTTTGTCATTCCCAGCATAGTAGACCATACAATGGTCCGATTCAAAATGGCGAATACCAGTCCCTTTCAGCTCACTAAGGCCTGGGATATCAATCTTTATGCAGTCCATTTTATTTCTGACGACTTCTAATTTTCCTAGATTCATACTTTGTACATTCCACTCTGATTATTAATGGATGTCTGCAGCTGTTTCTTCTTATTTTGAGTCGTGCCGCATCAGCAAATGAAGGTCCCAAAAGCTTGACTCCATCCATGTCATTAAGGTCGACTTTACTTTGAGGAGGCAGCTCTTCCCTAGTTGTATTTCTAGTGCCTTCAACCTGAGGGGCTCATCTTGTCACTGTATCAGACAATGTTCCACTGCTATTCATCAGGTTTTTACTGGCCAATTTTTTCAGAAGTAGGCCGCCAGGTCCTTCTTCCTAGTCTGTCTTAGTCTGGAAGCTCCACAGAAACCTGTCCACCATGAGTGACTGCTAGTATTTGAAACACTAGAATAGCTTCCAACATCACACATGCCACCACAGTATGACAAACTGACAGACTCATGGAGGCACATTAACATAGTCACATAAATTCCCACAAAGTATCCAAAGGAATTAAATGAAAGAAATGGTGTTAGAGTAACAGACTATCCATATGGAAAAATAAAATAAAACCTTGACTCCCTACATTATTCACGCTATATACAAAAACTAATTTGTGTTGGATCGTAGACCTAAATTTAAAAGTGCATCAGGGTTGTATCCTTTCACCGTATGTATTCAATCAAGAAGCTGGACTGTATGAAGAAGAACGTGGCATCGAGATGATGGAAGACTCATTAAAAACCTGCAATATGCAGGTGACACAACCTTGCTTGCTGAAAGTGAACTGGACTTGAAGTATTTAACTGATTAAGATGAAATGGGACAGCCTTCAGTATGGACCGGACCTCAACATAAAGAAAACAAAAATCCTCACAACTGGACCAATAAGCAACATCATGATAAGTGGAGAAAAGATTGTAGTTGTTAAGGATTTCATTTTATTTGGATCCACAATCCACGCCCATGAAAGCAGCAGTCAAGAAATCAAATGAGGTATTACCTTGGGCAAATCTGTGCAAAAGACTTCTTTAAAGTGTTAGAAAGCAGTCACTTTATGAGAACTAAGGTGCGCCTGACACAAGCCATGGTATTTTCAGTCATCTCATATGCATACGGAAGCTGGACAATGAATAAGAAGACCGAAAATACCTTTGAATTATGGTGGCGAAGAATATTAAATATACTATGTACTGCCAGAAGAACAAACACATGTGTCTTGTAGCAAGTACAGCCAGAATGCTCCTTAGAAGCAAGGATGGCGACTTCGTCTCTTGTACTCTGAACATGTTATCAGAAGGGACCAGTCCCTTGAGAAGAACATCATGTTTGGTACAGTAGAGGGTCAGCGAAAAAGAGGGAGACCCTGGACAAGATGGATTGATACAGGGGCTGCAACAAGGGGCGGAAACAGCACCGATTGTGAGGATAATGCAGGACTGGGCATGTTTTGTTTTGTTTCTGTTGTACATAGGACAACTATGAAGCAACTCGAGGTACGACAGCCTTCCCATTTCACCATCCTATCAACCTCGCACCTGTTGGTGGTTTCACGAAGTGTCTCATACTCCCTTCTCTGAGCACGAGGCACGCAGACAAGTTGATGCTAATTCTCCCAGCAGAACCCCATCCAGTCCGGCTTTGAGGTCCTGACTTAGTTGCCAGGGCAAAAGCGGAGAGAGGAGAAAGGGGCGCAGAGTGTCTGTAGTCACCCCCTTTCCAAGCCTAAGGCTGGGGTCGGGGGCTGTGAAGAGCCCAGTGACTCCTCAGGCCTCCAGCCCCAATGAACGAAGGGTGGGGCAGCCAAGATCTCCAAGGTCACGGGGAGGTCAGGGGGTCAAAGGGCAGGCAGTGCAGGGGCCCCGCCCGCGTCTCATCCCCGGGGTCCTTCCAACTGAGGCGGGGCCCTGGCCTCAGCGGAAGAGCCCTCGGAGGAGGCGGCGACAGGGCGGCGCGACCCCGGCGCCCCTGAGGCGGAGAGGAGGCCCGGCGGGGAATCCATGCGGCGCCCGCCCGCTGGACGCAGGTCGCTTCTCCGGGCGCAGGGTCGGCGAGAAGAGCCGGAAGCACAGCCACAGCGATGCGGGCCGAGCTCCCGCTCCCCGCCCTCCGCGCGCTTTTGGACGAATCCCGTCGCAGACTCACCTCCTCCTCCCGGGCCGCTGAACGCCGACCCGCGCGCGCGTCGGGTTGCTCCTGCGCCGGCGCTGCCTCAAGGCGGTCTTGGAGGGGAGTGACCGCGGGGCCCTTGGGGAGGGGGGCGGGGCCGTGGGGAGGGACAGCGACTTGGGAGGCCCGGGTCACAGAAAGTTTGGTGAGTGTGGAAGGAGGGGGTGATTCCCAGCAGGAGGATCTGGGAACCAGGGCTTTCTGCCCACTTTGAAATTGGGTTGTTTGTCTTTTTTGTTGGTGAATTTCAAGAGCTCGTTAGATATATTCATATATTCATATGGTTTCCAGATATTTTCTCCCATTCTGTAGGTTGTCGTTTCACTTTTTTGATAATGTTCTTTGATGCACAAATCGTTTTCATTTTGTTAAAGCCCAACTTAACTCTTTTTTCTTTTATTGCTTACTTTTTGATGTCATATCTAAGAATCTACGGCCAAAAACAAGGTCCTGAAGGTTTACCTGGAGCCTTGGTGGCGCAGCGGTTAACAGCTCGACTGCTAACCAAAAGGTCAGCCCTTCAAATACACCAGCTGCTCCTTGGAAACCCTGTGAGGCAGTTCTACTCTTATCCATTAGGATCGCTATGAGTCAGACTCCAGGGCAACGGGTTTGGTTTTTTTTGGTTTGAAGGTTTACCTTGTATTTGCTTTTACATGTTTTATATTTTAGCTCTTATATTTAGCTCACTGATGAATTTTGAGTTCATTTTTGTATATGACATGAGGTATAGGTCCAGCTTCATTTTTTTTTTTCTGCATACAGAGATAGAGTTGTCTAAGGACCATTTGTAAAAGAGACTATCCTCTCCCCATTCCATGGAACTGATACTTGTATTGAAAATGAATTAGCCGTAGATGTAAGGGTTTATTTCTGTACTCTATGAGAATATTTTTAAAGTAATATCAGAAAGAAATGAGGTAATAAAAATGAAATTATTGTACATAGTTTTTATAATGTTCCATCTGTGAGAGTTGCAGCGAAGCATCAGTTTTTACATTCTGTGAGAAAGTGAAAGTAAAGTGTTTTATTGTGAGGTAGAGAGAGATTTGCGAATCTGGGAGACACACACTGGAAGAGGCTGCATAGGCCTGGCTCACTAGTATTTAGTCCCCATTGCTAACCACCACGTTGTCTCATGATCTTGTTTTTCCCTCCAGTTACAGTCCCTACAAAAGGTTTAAGATTAACCGATGCTCCTCCCTGGAGGGTGGAAAACAAGTGATAGTAATCTAAAGATGAAAAACCAAACAGAGCACCCATCTTGTGACAAGAAAACCAGGATGTCGCCAGATAACCCCCAAGAATACCAGTAAAAGATTAACTCATCTGAGACATGACCACCTCAAGGGGGAACTAACACAAACTTCTAAGACCCATAATCCTGTCCCTGTAAAAGCCTTCAGCCGATCTCCAGTTGGGGAGACAGGTTTTTTGGAGGAATCTATTCCCCTCTTCTCCTATATATCAATATATAATAAAACCCTTGCTGCTCACCTCACCCCTGTCTCAGAATTGGCTATCGTGGTAGGTGGCTCCAATCTGCGTTACTGCGGAAACAACACTAGCACCCAGGCAGGATATTGTAGTGTTCCAAATTGCAGAAGGACAGTGAGGTTGTTATCAGGTGGAATGAGGCAGAAAGGGGATAAAATGGCAAGAAATTACAAGGGGGTTCGGTAATCTACAAACTTCATTAATGTTATCGATTCTATTCTCTAACCTCCTGGATCATGTTGACTGATGCATTCTTCTTAACGCGTTTTTCTTAGACTAAGCTGCATAAACATGCTTAGCAAACATCTTTTAACAAGCAATTCCTAGTAGAAGCTAAAGTCTTAACCCTTGCGCGTTTCTATGTTACAAACAGTTAAACTTTTACAAGAAGGTGAATTGTCTTTTTAGGGCACCAGAAGCCGAGAATTTTAAGTCAAGCTGCAGTTTAATTCAAAATGGAGTTTAATTTAGATCTGGGCCAGCCATTTTAGTCAAGCCAGGCACCTGGGTTTTGGGGTCCATGTACAGAGTTATGATAAATTTTATATATATATATATATTTTTTAGATTTTCCTAATGTGAGTAGGTGGGACACCAGCATGTATAATAAGAAAGTGGTCCTGCTGTATTTTGAAAAATAATTTTTATGTTCCAGGCAAAGCAGTTTCTATTCATTCCTGGAAAGGAACTTCTTTTGACATAGGTTCAATATCTTAAATAGATTTAAAGCTTAAGTTACTTATAAAATATGAGGTGAAAAGGACTAAAGAAGAATAAATTGTGATTAACTATAGTAATAGCATAAAATTAAAGTTCAACTAACCTCAGTCTAACACTGATGCCCTCTTATCATCTGTGCATACACACACACACACACACACACACACACACAAACAGACATACACATAAAACAGTTGTTTTGCTCTAAGATGTTAGGACACAAAATTAAATAGCACATAAAATGCATATAAGAATTTTATTAGATGACTTTTCCATAATTCCACTTAAATGATAGTAAACAAAAGGATGAACCACGAGAATAAATAGAAGTGTCAAGGAGGCAAGAATGTAGATGTATAAGTAGGAACATTTTAGCAAGCATGACAAAGCCAAAACCTAAGCCACTGTAGCATCAGTATAAACAAGCTGATTCATGCTGCAGATCCCTCAGAACCTCTGACCTGGAGGATCCAGGTACCCTGTGATTGACAGGTGGGGTGAAAAGTAGGATTAACTGGAAGTCTGAATACAGAATGGTTAAGAACCCATATCCCTCCCCACTGGCAAAATATTGGAGGTTTACTGTCTGGAAATGTTGAGTCCAAGAGCCCAGAGGATAATGCAGAAAAGGGTCAGAGAGAATGGGCACCGAGAGCATTTACCGGAGGTTACCTGAGAGCCAGTCCAGCTCAGCCCAGAGCTGAGAGATCACAGTGTTTGTTTGCTTGCTTGACTAATTAATTTATATAATATGTTGAAAAGTGTCCATAGGACTCAGTAGTGCACAGGTCATTGTTGACAAGTAATAAGAATGGAAGCCCACTTAGAACAGGGGACGAGAGGGTAAAGTGGTTCCAGTTCTACTCTGACAAATGGGATTGCCGTGAGCTGCAGTCGACTCGAGGGCAACTGGTTTTGGTTTTAGGTACTGTTGACAAAGAGACCAATGGAGGTAGATATTATCTTACAACAGTGTTCATTAGACATACTCTTTGTAGTGTCTTCTCTTAGCTTGGGTATTCACATGAAAAAATAATAATTGTCACATATGTGAAAAGCGTCTCACCCTGCTTTACTTTGCAATTATTTCATTACTGGTGAGTCTGAACATATTTGTGTGTTTGTTAGCCACCTACTTTATTGCAAATTGTTCAAGGCCTTTGCTTTTGTGATTTGGGGTCTGAGCATTTTTACTCTTGTTTGGTTGCATTCTATCAAAGACTTTCAGGCTTTTTCCACCAATTTTGCAGTTTTCCTTGTAGTGCTTTTCTAGATGTATATTTGGAGGGAATGTGTGAAAGTTTATGTTTTATGTGGTCAAATCTGTCAGTCTTACATACTGTGATTATCCTATTGTTTTTTAACCTTAGAAAGTTTTTTTTTGTATTCTTTGAATTAGCAAATCATGTTTTACATTTATTGTCATTTTGTTTTCACGTCTCTGTTATTCCTTTTTGTCTTTTATGATTAGATATATTTCTAAAAGTAGCATCATCTTCTACCATCATATGCAAGGCGTTCTTCCTTAGCATGCAACTAAAATTTGCCTTTTCTTTCATAAGCATGTTTGAGTCCATATATCTTTATACAGCATGAAATTATAACTTTAGATTCTGCTTCTTACCCACATTTTTAAAAAATTCAATGTTCTTTTATTTTCTCAGGGTTAATAGTGACACAGTAGAGAGATAAAGACAACATTTAATGAAAGGAAGAACATAATCCTTTGAAAGAGAAGACTTCCCCACACCGTTGCTGGTAAAATAAAGGTAAGAGAGTATATACCCTGTGAGGACTCTTGATGGCTTTGATTCCTTGTTGTTCCATGAGATACAGAATACCATGGATGTTTTCTGAAATAAAAACCTCTGTTTACATTTTTTTAAATTGTGCTTTAAGTGAGAGTTTACAGCTCAAGTTAGTTTCTCATGCAAAAATTTATACACACATTTTTATGTGGCCCTAGTTTCTCTCTATAATGTGACAGCATGCTCCTCCTTTCCACCCTGGATTTCCTGTGTCCATTCAACCAGTTCCTATCCCTTTCTGCCTTCTCATCTGCTTACATTTTTATTCATTCACTTGTCTCCACATGATAGAAGGGAAAAACCAAAAACCCCCATGGGGCATGCAGTGTATTTCTTTTTTTTTTTTTTTAATTTAAAAAAATTTTTGTTGTTGAGAATATACACAGCAAACCATACACCAATCCAACAGTTTCTACATGTACAATTCATTGATGCTGATTGCATTTTTTTGAGTTGTGCAACCCTTCTGACCCTACTTTTCTGAGTTGTTCCACCTCCATTAACATAAATTCACTGCCCCATAAGGTTTCTATCTAATGTTTTGAGTTGCCGTTGTCAATTTGATCCATATGGATAGTTCTTAAAAGAGCACAATGCTCAAGGCAGACATCCTTTAGTAGTTAAGCTAAACTATGGCTTGGGTTTAAGAAGACTTCAGGGTACATGTTTGGTTTAAGGTTTAAGGATCATCTCAGGGCAATAGTTTGAGGGGTTCATCCAGCCTCCATGGATCTAGCAATTCTAGATTCTATGAGAATTTGAAATTCTGTTCTTCATTTTTTCCCTTTTGATCAGGATTCTTCTATTGAATCTTTGTTCAAAATGTTCGGTAATGGTAGCCAGGCAACATCCAGTTCTTGTGATCTCATGACAAAGGAGGCAGTTGTTCATAGAGGTGTAAAAACAGCTTGAGGACAGTGTCTGACCTCTCTATCCTCACAAGGGGGAGGAGAACCAAGATCAACAGCACAAGGCTGATCCCATGAGGTGAAAGTCAGACAAGCCTCCTCTCTCTGCCATCTTTACTAATTCTGACACCAACCGTCCCTCGCGCAGCACTCTCTACTTCTCTGCTGGGTTCGATAATTCATTGCAGTGGCCATAGAGAACTCACAGACCGTACTCACATTTACAGGGTTTATTAGGGAAGTATCATTTACAATTCAGGCTCAGGAATATTCAAGATACAATTTTTCCATCAGGATAGCCTCTTCCCAGCCATGCTCGCAGGCACACCTCTTCCTAGCCCTAGGCCTCTCCCCAAAGGCACTCAGCTTTCTCTCTCCTTGGGCCGGGAAGCCCACCGAGCTGTCTCCTGCTTCCAGGTCTCTGTTGCCACCACCTCAGCATCTTTAGGGTTATAGCTTGCTCTTTCTTGGTCTCCTGCTTCCAGAAGCTTTTTAGCACAGGGACCCCAGGTCCAAAGGACGTGCTCTCTGCTCATGGCTGTTCTTCCTTGGTGGTGGTAGGACCCTCCTCTCAGCTCTGGAATTAGCTCTCTTTTAAGGCAAAACTGACCAATCCCCTTGGTAGGCCACAATTACCCTATCACACAGGCTCACCTGATCACCCAGGTGGGAGTTACAAGACCATGGCTAGAAAGGCCATACACAAAAGTTATTAATCCACCACAAGGGGCAATTGGCAATTTCCTCCTCCTATTCCAGATTTTCCTTCCTCTGTTGCACCAGGCAAATAGAGACCAATTGTTTTATCATGGATGACTGCTTGCAAGCTTTTAAGACCCCAGGCATCACACAACGAACTAGGAGGTAGAACAGAAACACTAAACACTTTATTAGGCCAGTTAACTGGGATGTTCCATGAAACCATGGCCCTAAACCTCCAAACCAAGGAACCAAGTCCCATGAGGTGTTTAGTTGTACATAAGTGGCCTCTACGGCTACTCTTTTTTTCTTGGTCATTGTTGTAAATATATCTATCACAAACCTTTTGCCAATTCAACTTTTTACAGGCGTACAACTTCTGACAGCAATTACATTAATCAGCTGTGCAACCCTACCCTTAATCAGTGCAATTTTTCCGTCACCTTAAACCAAAACTCAGTACTGCATAAACAATAACCTGCTTCTTTCCCCCTTTCTCCAGCCCCTGGTAACCACTAAGAAACTCTGGTCTCTATACATTTGCCTGTTCATGTCTTTTTATATAAGTGATCACGGTCGTGCAATATTTGTCCTTTTGTGATTGACTTATTTTACTCAATGTAATGTCTTCAAGCTCCATCCATATTGTTGCATATATCAAGACCTCATTTCTCTTACTTGCTGAGAAGTATTCCATTGTATGTGTGTACAACATTGTGTTTATCTAGTCATCCGTTGATGGGCATTTAAGTTGTTCTACCTTTTGACTATTGTGAATAGTCCTGCAATGAACACTGGTATACGAGTACCTGTTTGAGTCTCTGCTTTCAAGTCTTTTGGGTATATGCCTAGGAGTGGAATTGCTGGCTCAAGTGGTAGTTCTATTTTTAGTTTTTTGAGGAACCACCACACTGTTTTCCACAATGGCTCTACTATTTTGACCCATGTTTTTTTAAATCTGTATTTTTATTTTGTTTTATTTCCAGGTCCTTTCTGTTTTAATCTTGGATTAGTGCCCATGTTGATGGTACTTTATTATTGTTATTTTATATCTTTCCTCTCAAAAGTTAGTTTTAGCTTTTAATTCAATTATGCTTAATACACTTGTTTGAAGCCACTATATTTAACCTGGTTTCATTCTCCATTAAGTTTTTATTTCATAAATTCTTATTTTCTCTGAAATCTTATGTTTCTGCATGCATACATACATAGTCACATACTTTTACAAATATGCAATAAATGGAACCAGTACACATTGTAAATGCACTTTATTATTAGTGTGGTCTTTTTTTTTTTCTTCTTCTAGTTTTTCTCTCCCCTTTTCTTATCACTCAGTAGTACCTTATGATGATAGGTACTACTCAGTCAACTAGTGTAATTATCATTTATTACTTTTAATCACTATAATATTTCATGGTGGCACTGTGCCATTTACAATTTTTTGTGTTCCTCCATATTCTAGTTAAATTATCACCAGAACAATGCTATAGAAATATTATGGGATTACTAAAACAGTGGTTCTCAACTGGAGGTGATTTTCTCCCGTAAGGGACTCTTGGCAATATCTGGAGACAATTTTGATTGTCAAAACTAGGGTTCGGGTTGCTACTGGCATCTAGTGGGCACAGCCCAGGAATCCTGCTAAACATCCTGCAATGCACAGTACAACCCCCACAATACAGGATGATTTGCCTAGAATGTCGATAATGCTGAATTCAAGAAAACCTAGGTTGAAGAATGTCTTAGTTATTTAGTGTGCTATAACAGAAATATCACAAGTAGATGGCTTTAACAAAACAGAAGATTACTCTCTCACAGTTTAGGAGGCTAGCAGTCTGAATTCAGGGCACCAGCTCTAAGGGAAGGCTTTCTGTCTGTGTCAGCTATAGGGGAATGTCCTTGTCTCCTTTCAACATCTGTGGGCCTGGCATTCCTTGGAGATCTCCATGTGTCTTGGCATAAATCTTCCTCTGGGTCTAGGAGGTTCTCAGTGCAGGAGCCCCAGGTCCAAAGGATGTGCTCCACTTCCAGCTCTTCTTTCTTGGTAGTAGTGAGGTCCCTCCCCTCTCTGCTTGCTTCTCTCTTTTTATCCCTTGTAAGATAAATGGTATGACTTAAGTAAGGGTGTGACTTGACTGAAGGTATGACTTAAGGCTGTGACTCAAGTTAGACCCCACACTAGTCCTGCCTCATTAATGTCTAGAGGTTAGGGTTTGCAACAGACCACAAAATGGAGAAAACCACACAATACTGGGAATCATGGCCTAGCCAAGTTGACACATATTTTTAGGAGACAATTAAATCCATGGCAAAGGATATCTGTTTTTAATATTTATAGCTGTTTTCTGATTTTTCTTCAAGATGTTGTTTCACTTCACATTTCTGCCAGCAATATTAGAGAGTACCCATTTACCATCTGTTTATAATTCCAACCCCAGTCATTGTGACATGCACGCACAGACACACACACACAGCTAAACAAAGAGATTCATTAAACAGTTTTGTATGTACGTGGGCTATGTGTGATTCACTGTGATATTTTCTATGATTTTTTAAATTTTATATCTCATTTTAAAAAACAGTTTAGATCCTAATGATTTCCCATCTCAGAATATGGGAGACATGCCTCTAATGTGTCCTCCACATTTATTTCAGCATTTCCCTACTTCTTCTCTTTCACTCATCATTGGCGATTTATGTGAGTCGGCATCCTTTCACTTGTTCACAGAATACGAATGTCTTCAGCTACTATTATATCTGATATACCAACTAAACTACATGGGGGAGGGGGGTACAAAGTATGTAAAACATTGCTGTATCTTTGAAGGCACTCACAGTCTTGCAGGAAAAAGACATGGAATTAAATGAAAGCAAGACACAATGATAGCCCTAGCATCCAAATTAAGTGCAGGAAAGAAGTTGTCACCTTCATGTGGGGATTTTAATTAAGAGGCTTCATGAAGGAGATGAGTCCAGGGAGTCCGGGAAGACAAGATGGAGGATTCCAGATGGAGAGGGTGTGAAAAAATTTCAGGTAGACACGTGGGTGAGAAAACCTAGGCAAAGGGAATTGGGTGTATCAGTGCTCTGAGTATTGAAACTATGGTGCACTGCTGAAGCTGCAGGTTATGTTGAATGTCATGGAGATCAGTGTGTGTGACGGCAAGGTAGCAGGGGAGTTGAGCTGGCAGGTGGGTCACAGAGAATCACGTCTTGTGTATGAAGTGAGGAAATGTGGCCTCATTTCCCAGTGGGGAATCACTGGGTTGTGGGGGTTAATAAGGGAGATCAAGATCACCTTTGTAATACAGAAAGATCTCTTTGGGGCAATGTGAATATCAGGATAGAGAGATG